TGCCACCCCAATGCCACCCCAATGCCACCCCAGTGCCACCCCAATGCCACCCCAATGCCACCCCAATGCCACCCCAGTGCCACCCCAGTGCCACCCCGTGCCCCGGGCACTCACGTCGCACTCGTTGCAGTAGTAGGCCGGCTCGTCCTTGACGCGGCCCTGGTAGGCGATCTTCTTCCCGGCGCGCACCAGGCTCTCGCGCTGCACCTGGCAGTGCTTGATGGACTGCAGCAGGCAGTACCTGCGGGCACCGCGCTCAGCGTGCCGCCGTGCCACGCCCGGGCCGCCGTGCCGCGCTCAGTGTGCCAGCACCCATGGGACAGCTGGGCCACCGTGCCACCACCCACGGGACAGCTGGGTCACTGTGCCACCACCCACGGGACAGCTGGGTCACTGTGCCAGCACCCACGGGACACCTGGGTCACCGTGCCAGCACCCACGGGACAGCTGGGCCACCGTGCCAGCACCCACGGGACAGCTGGGCCACCGTGCCGGCCGTGCCAGCCGTGCCAGCACCCACGGGACAGCTGGGTCACCGTGCCAGCACCCACGGGACAGCTGGGTCACCGTGCCACCACCCACGGGACACCTGGGTCACCGTGCCAGCCATGCCAGCTGCGGCACACCTGGGTGAGCTGTGCCAGCCGGGGGACAGCTGGGTCAGCGTGCCAGCACCCACGGCACACCTGGGTCACTGTGCCAGCCACAGGACACCGGGGTCACTGTGCCAGCCGTGCAACCACCCACGGGACACCGGGGTGAGCTGTGCCAGCTGTGGCACACCTGGGTCACTGTGCCACCCGTGCCAGCACCCATGGGACACCTGGGTGAGCTGTGCCCCTGCCCACGGGACATCTCTGTGCCATCTGAGTCACCCGTGCCAGCCACAGCACACCTGGGTCACTGTGCCACCTGTGCCAGCACCCACAGGACACCTGAGCACCTGTGCCAGTGCCCATGGGGACACCTGGGTGACACCAAGTCCCCCTGTCCTGCTATGTCCCTGCATGTCCCCCGGTGTTCACGTGTGTCCTCAGGTGTCCCCACCTGTCCCCAGGTGTCCCCACCTGTCCCCATGTGTCCTCAGGTGTCCCCACCTGTCCCCACCTGTCCCCAAGGTGTCCCCAGGTGTCCCCAGCTGTCTGAGGTGTCCCCAGGTGTCCCCGCGTGTCCCCAGGTGTCCCCCCTCACTTGATCATCTTGTAGAGGTCGGGGTCGCTGATCTTGACGGTCCTGGCCACGTTCCAGGAGACGTGGATCATGGGCACGATGGACTTGACGTTCTTCACCTCGTTCCACTCATAGCGCTCCAGGGCCAGCTGGTACTGGTACGCTGGGGACAGGGACAGCGGCACGTGGCGGCCACCGGCGGTGTCCCCAGTGTCCCCCCGGTGTCCCCGGTGTGTCCCCAGTGTCCCCAGTGTGTTCCCAGTGTCCCCAATGTCCCCAGTGTGTCCCCAGTGTCCTTGGTGTCCCCCCGGTGTCCCCAGTGTGTTCCCAGTGTCCCTCCAATGTCCCCAATGTCCTCAGTGTCCCCCAGTGTCTCTGGTGTGTCCCCAGTGTCCCCGGTGTGTTCCCAGTGTCCTCAGTGTGTCCCCAGTGTGTTCCCAGTGTCCTCAGTGTCCCCAATGTCCCCAGTTCCCGCAGTGTCCCCAGTGTCCCCCCGGTGTCCCCGGTGTACCCCCAGTGTCCCCGGTGTGTCCCAAGTGTCTCAATGTCTCCAGTGTCACCAGTGTCCTCAATGTCCCCAGTCCCCACAGTGTCCCCAGTGTCCCCCCGGTGTCCCTACTGTCCCCCCAGTGTGTTCCCAGTGTCCCCCAATGTCCCCAATGTCCCCAGTGTCCCCAGTGTCCCCAGTGTGTCCCCAGTGTCCCCAGTGTGTTCCCAGTGTCCCCGGTGTCCCCTATGTCCCCAGTGTCCCCAGTGTCCCCAGTGTCCCCAGTGTGTCCCCAGTGTCCCCAGTGTGTTCCCAGTGTCCCCGGTGTCCCCTATGTCCCCAGTGTCCCCCCAGTGTCCCCAGTGTGTCCCAAGTGTCCCCAGTGTCCCACCAGTGTGTCCCCAATGTCCCCAGTGTCCCCAGCAGTGTCCCCCCAATGTCCTCAGTGTCCCCCCAGTGTGTTCCCAGTGTCCCCAATGTCCCCCCAGTGTCCCCAGTGTCCCCGGTGTCCCCGCACCCCTCACCGGTCAGCGGCCCCATGTTCCAGGCGATGTCCCCTCACGATGTCCCCAGT